ACACATTTTTTACAGCAATGCTAATGAAGTAGTGAAGTTTACTAAAAGGAAATCAAATAAAAGTAATCTAATGTTGTCTAGCTTATTTAGGATGCCAGATATTCACATTTACCACAGCAAGATTCCCTCACAAACTATTCTGGACTGAGAAAGACGACTACAGTGTTACTACAGATACATAATTGCTCTTTAGTTGCCTACCTCATGCACGTACAGATGCTCACAGACTTAGTATAAGCTAGAGGCTATACTAGTTAAGCCATACAAATACTCTGAAGGCTGAAGACCTACAGGTAGGTAGTTAAGCCAGATTTCAGTGCTTTCGTGTTACTCTATTAGAGCAATAAGCTAAAAGAATATGGCCTCAAACTCTTTCTATTAATAGAAGAATGTGGATTTTAATTGAAATTCCAGATCAGATTTCTTCTCCTCTCCACACAGAACAAAACGACAGTCATAGGATACCCCAGCTTTTATTAGCTCACTATTTAAAGGTGCTTTAAAAGAGTAAGCAACAATATATGTCAATAGTACCAGAAATTCACATCATCCCTTACTGGTACACTACTAGCATTAAATATATAATATTCTTTGCTGGAAAAATGATAATAGTGCACATTATACAAAGTTTAAGAAATATGGGGAGATTCCTTTTTTGTACATACAGTTTGAAATTCTTTCAGAAGATGTTGATCCAGACTCAGTTTGCACACCTGTCAAGCTTTTTTCAGCAATTCCTTGCAGTTCTCTATAAGAACATGCTTCCTATCATCCAGTTCACGAAATCGTTGCTATTAGAAGAGATATTGAAATACACATCATCTTATTTTAAATTTCCTATTGATTTCCACTACTGTCTGTGACCTTGCATTACATTTCAATGACTCCTTAAGAGAGAGCTGAACATTTAAATGTTGCAAGTCATTTGCACACCTTCTAACTCCAGTTCTAACCAGAGATGACACTAGCATACCACCAAGAAACAACATCACAATTGGAGAAGGTACATGAAATCACACTGTTTAAAGATTGGAAAGCTTCATTTCAACACACACCTCATTCTGCCTTTCTGCTCAAAGTCAACAGATGCCAAGGTAAACTGATCAAAAGCGTGCTCTTGTAATACAGCTAAATTTATTTTATCTCAACTAGACAAGTGTGTATGTAGATTCAACATATATCTAAAAATAGATTATTTTACAGTAAATTCCCTATAAGCCAAAGCACAACTACTGTGAGCCTTCTTTTTTATTACCTCCCATTTAACTCTATTCATCTACTTGGGATAACATAGTGGATATGATTTACACTTAATGGTATTTTATTAGAAACTGTACAGCCTCACAGTTACATAATCAGAAATAATTCCTTTGCTGTTTCATATTCCACCTCTATACTCTATAATACAACTAGCAAAACACCAAAAAAAATCTACAATTTCTAAACTGGTACTGTAAAATAAGTGAAAAGCAGATACAGTATTTGCTTTTGAACTGTAGCCTTAAGACTAAACTCTTTGGAACTTACTATAGGTAAGGTGACCAGCCCAGCCCTATGACTTTTATAATGCTATGGTATCACAACAGTAGCTAAAATACAATGCTACTACTTTAATAAAACAGTAAGCTACAGATCATCATGAAACAGCAGTATCCAGGCAAAAGGGAGCTTTAAGTATCTCTTCTCCCTGCCACCAGAAATCTCACTTGTTATCTCTGCACATCTCCCCCCTACTCTCAGGCCTGCCACTTGCACACACTGAAGAGGAAGTGCTTGGGAATAACTGCTTGTTGCTGTCTTCCAGCTCAGGTGAGCACTCAGCTGCAGATAGCTGGGAACTGCCAACAACTTTGAAGTGGAAAGAAGCATATAACAATAGATTGGGAACCTTTAATCCAAAAGATATTTTACTATACATTTAGTCAATGATTACACATGTAATTCATCTTTCTGATAGACAGTTATGCCATGGGAATGCACTGTTACCATTTTTACTACAGGCACAAAATTGTAAGTTAAAATTCATCTCCACAATATTTTGCTAATGAACTTCTTTCTGACAGTTTGGGAAGTTTAACTATGTTCCCATGCTTTGGAGAGCTTTCTTTATTTCCCCATTTGTGTGTGTGTGTATTTTAGTTAAATATGGGAGCCCTCCAGTGACAAAATTTTATTGAAATGTTCATCATTTGGAGACTATACAGTTGAATAAATGTTTCTTTTACATTTTTAAAATACGGGATACAGCCACTGACACATAGCTCATATTACTCACATTACACATTAATTACATTGTTAATCTCTATTTCCTAAATACAACAGAAGCAGTTACAACAGATACGATCATGAGTGATCACCAGCGGAGTTCTCATGCTCACTCAAGAATTAGGGTTGACATTCTGTATGGCAGATATCAACTCAGAAGTCTCATTTTCCCTTTCTTTTACAGAGCACTAGGAAACAGATTCTTCATTAGAGTTAAGCATTTCACTATCTTCCCAAACACACTGTAAAGATACTTTTTTATACTGCGCTGATGTTTTCAGCAAGGTAAAACAAATAGCCATCATTTAGATTTTTCTCCACTTCCCTCCTCCTCTAGCATTAGCCTTATGGAAGTGCCACACAGGGGCAAGAAGGACTGGCATTAAAGCTATACAGATAGCACAGCCACAAGGGGAGGACAGCCCTTTTAGTCACAGCCAAGTTATTATGTCATTCTGAATTAACATAAATACAACTGTACACCACAATGCATATGTTCCATTAGATATCTGTATATGCCCTGTATTAAATTAAAAACACAAAGAAGCTTCTAAATTGAAACTAGACTGTATTTTGTATCCCAGAACTTTAGAAGCCCATTGGCTTCATTTGAAATGTATGTGTTTGACCTCATAATAATGAAGGCAAAGGATCCAGGGAAAGGTAACACACACATGCTTTTTTCATACAAGAAGCATCAGTTTTATAGTCGTGCCTCTGATCATTTCCAGAGCCAAAGCCAATTCTCAATCATCTGAAGTGGGAAACCTCAGCTTTCAACTGTACATAAAGCTCCCACTTCAAGCCCTGCAGAGCTGCATGAAATAGGATTTTGAGTTGATTTCTAGGCACTGAAAATCTGAAATAGATTCAACATTGAATATTCCTGACCCAAGCCTGAGGCAGGTAAAATTTTTCAGGGTGGGAAGAGGAAAAAACATGTTTGGGGAGAGAAAAAATGAATCTACCAGTGATGATACAGACTACTCACATGAAGTTCATGGCTTTGTGATACATTCTTATTCTTTACTGAGCTTCAGCAATGAAGTGACTTACATTGGATTTTGATAAAAGTATAAATAGCAGCAGCATCAAACTAGAGATCTGATGCAACAGTGACCTTCCAAGTAACATGTTGGGCTTGTCTCCATCTTCAGGGACTTTTTGCTCAAGATCTCCCTTTCCTAATTTTTCTGCAAGTGATGACACCTAAAACCTTTAGTGGTTTTCTGAAGATATGCCAAGGTCAATCTTTCTGGAAGTGCACAGTCATCCAAAATAAAGATCACTTACCTTTTGAACTGCTTTCTAGTTTAACATGCAATTATTTTTGTAGATCAAATTGAATTAGCATTAGGTTATAGTTAAACTGACTCTTGAAAGATAAGGAAAAAATTACCATCCTGGAGCTTGACATTTTTTTCTCAGTACCTTGAAAGTTTGCCTGTTTACTAAACAAACATGAAAATTGACCTCCAAGCACTGATCCACTGGAGATCACAGCATCCTCTGCTCTTAGAAAAAGAGTATATGTCTGTGGGACTAATTCTATAGAGATTGTCTTTTTACCTGAACACTGCATAGCTTCCTAATACAATCAATGGAAGGACTGGTTATCCCTCTTTTCACTCTTCAAAGGCAGGCATTTAATTACAATATGAGAAAACAGCTATGAAAGAAATGACAAAACAACTCTGCTCCACTTTATTACAGTACTTTCTCGTTCATCTTGAGGGTACATCTCCCATGTGGGTTGGGTCTACTTATCTACCAAAGATTCAGGAGAAAGACAATACTTCTAAAAAATAGCTAGGCTTCTTACCTAGACTATGTAGTATAATAGCTAGATCCAGGACAGGATGAGTGTTCACCACTTTTTTTCCCCAGAAGCTTAGCTGTCTTAATCGAGGAAAGCAAAGCTTGTTTTTAACTTTAAATGAAGAGGCTGCAGTAATCAATCAAGCTACAAAAATCGAGGCTAAATATTTAGCAATGACAATACCCATTCCTAAAAAAAGACACAGAAGCATCCTTTCCTATACTACAAAGGCTTCAAGATATTTTCATAGTGGATTTCCTAGTATTCACAGAAATATTTACCTCTGAAGCTTAGTTGTACACTTGCAGCTTTATACTCTAATTCTAGTCTGTTCTTCTCAGCAGCCACTGCAGTGCTCTGAAGAACCAAAACTGCTTTGATGTTCAGTGATATGCAATTCTAGATAGGAAAACAGAAAATGTCAATTTTTTCCATGAGAGACTCAAAACTGATATAATTACTATCATACTTTAGAAATGGTGCGTTTTTTAGCCATAGCATACAACCTCAAACTGTGTTCAGCTCTTCAACTGGGTTTTCTTTCAAATTCAATTTAAAAAAGAAAGGCAACTTACTAGTGACCCACATTCTTCAAAATGCATAGTCCACATCTATTCTTATTCTGCAAGCATACACGTATCACCTGTGACTAAATAATTTATTCTTGTACACCAAAAAAGCACATTCTCTCTATCTACACCATATACTGACATGCAAAGTGTGAAAATACACAAAGCTATCAATTCTTTCTCAGAGACCGAATCCAACAGGTAGATTTCATAACTCAAAAATAGAGATGGAAAAGGGGCAAGGAATAAATGTTTAAGATATATGCCTCTCGCTGGCAGTACAAAGATGAGTGACAGTATATGAAATACATGACAGAAGC